TCATATATATATTTAAGATAGTTATAATGCTCTTTCACATGATGCTTCCACAGCAGACTTAATATCATATTTTCAAATTTCTATTTTATAAATGAATCTCACTCATTAGTGTTCAGAATAGGAAGAAAGGGTGAAATACACTTTCACAGAATAAAAACATCCTAGAGAAGTTCTGTGTGGGTAACAAAGATGCCAAATCAAGAAACCAAAAGTATTAGAGTTATGAAGTGAGGACAGGATCAAATTCTTAATTATGTATCATTACACAGTAGATTTGGTGTAATCAAGAAAAGAAGGATAACAACACTGGAAGGAAGATGTTCACTGAAGCCTGGACTTCAGATGTAGCAAATAAAAAAGTCTGGATCAAGCTTGTCAGCAAAGGGTACATCTGTCTCTATTATCAGATCTTTCTTTTTCTTTCAGTATTTATAATGCCCTAACAGAAAATTCACCTTGAGATTGATTATCAGATTCCTGAAGTATCACAGTTATTTGTTTATTTAATTAGTTATCTCAAAAATTTTTACTTTAATTCCAGTGTAGTTAACATGCAGTGTTACATTAGTTTCAGGTATACAATATAGCAATTCAACAATTCTATACATTGTACTCATCTGATAAGTGTACTCTTTAATTCCCATCACCTATTTTACCCTTCCCCCTCTCGTGTATTTATTTATTGCCATTAATCCCACAAAATATTTGAAGAGTTTACAGAATTAGATCAGAGGGGTTGCCAAAAAACAGCAGCAGCAAAATAACGATAAACAATAACAACAAATGGCAAGGAAGGAAAAGAATCCTATTTCCAATTGCCATGTAATATTATTTAAAATGTTCAGTTTTTCAACAAAAATTATGATATAGAAAGAAAAAGGAAATTATGGCCCATACACAGGAAAATGTAGCCAATAGAAACAGTTTCTGTTAATCCCAGACATTGATCTTACTACATAAAGATTTTAAATCAGTTAATTTAAATACGTTCAAAAACTAAAACAAAGCATGTCTACAGAACTAAAGGAAAGTATGAAAACAATGTTTCACTAAATAGGGATTATCAATAAAGAGATACAAATGATAAAAAAAAAATCAGAGGAAATCTGGAGTTGGAAAGTACAAAAATTGAAATAAAAAATTCACTAGAGGGAACCCCCAGCAAATTTGGACAGACAGAAAAAATAATCATCAAACCTGAAAAGAGGTCAATTGAAATTACTTAGTCTGACTGAGGAACAGAAAGAACAAAGAATGAAGAAAAGTGAAAGAAATCTCAGAGACCTGTAGGACACCTTAAGGAGTACCAATACATGTATAATGTGAATCCCAGAAGGACAGAACAGAAGGAAAGGGGCAGAAAGGATATCTGAAAAAATAAGAACCCCAAACCTCTCAAATTTGATGAAAAGCATTAATCTCTGTACCCAAGAAGTTCAACAAACTCCAAGTAGGATAAAATCAAAGCGATCCACAGCTAGATATATTAATCAATTTGGCAAAAGCCAAAGACAAAGAGAGAATCTTGAAAGCAGTGAGAGAAGCATCATGTACAAGACTCAATAAGATAACTGCTGAATTCTCATCAGAAACCATGGAGGCCAGAATGCAGTGAAATGATATATTCAAAGTGCTGAAAGAGAATAGTAACCAAGAATTACATGTCCAGTAAAATAATCTTTCAAAATGGAGAGGAAAATGACAAGGATGTCTGTTCTTGCCATTTCTATTCAACATTGTGCTGGAGTTTCTAGCCAGAACAATTAAGCAAGAAAAAACAAAAAGAGAAAGAAAGAAAAGAAAAAGGCATTCAGATGGGAAAGGAAGTAATAAAACTATTCTTTTCAGATGACCTGATCTTTTATATGGGAAATACTCAGGAATCCAGAAGGAAATCTATTAGAGTTAACAAATTCAGAGGTGCCTGGGTGGCTCAGTCGGTTAAACATCTGACTCTTGATTTTGGCTCAGGTCTTGATCTCAGGGTGGTGAGATTGAGCCCTGGGGTTGGACTCTTTGCTCAGTGAGAGTTTGCTTCTCTCTGTCTCCCTCTCCTCTTGCCTCTCTCTCCACTCACACTGTCTCTCTTTCTCTCAAACAAATCAATCAATCAATCTTAAAAAAAAAAAAAAACAAGTTCAGCAATGTTATAGAATATAAGATCTAAATACCAAAATAAGTTGCCACAGACTGTGGCAATCAGTCTGTGCTCTGTTCCTACGTGGAAGGCCTCTTAAAAGCCACTCTTTTGTTACTATCAATACACAGTCTAAAAATAAAATTAAGAAAAAATTCCATTTAAAATAACCTAAAAAGCATAAAATATTTAAGAATACATTTAACGAAAGAAATGTAAGATTTACACACTGTAAACTACAAAACATTTTGAAAGAAACTTAAAAAGACCAGGTAGAAAGACATTCCATGCTTATGGATTGGAAGACTTAATATTAAGTGGCAACACTTCCTAAATTGATCTACAGAATCAATGAAATCCCTATTGAATTCCCAACCGGCTTTTTCCCCCCAGAAGTTAACAAGCCGATCCCACAATCTATAGGGAAATGTAAGGGACCCAGAATAGCCAAAACAATCTTGAAAAAGGTGAACAAATTTGGAAGATTCACATTTCTTGTTATCAAAACTTACTACAAAGCTTCAGTAGTCAGCTTTGTAAGGAGACATTATGATACTGGCATAATAATGGACATATATCAATGGAATAGAATTAAGAATCAAAGAAAAAACCCTAACTTTTATAGTTAACTGTTTTTCATCAAGGGTGCTAAGACAATTCAATGGGGAGAAAATCGTCCTTTCAACAAATGGTACTGGGTAATGGGATAACCATTTGTGAAGGGATAAAGGAGGACTCAGCCTTCACAACACATACAAAAATTAATTCAAAATTGATCAAAAAGCTAAATGTAGCAGTGAAAATTGTAAAACTTGAAAACATAGGTGTAACTCTTTGTGACCTTGAATTAGGTGATGGATTTTTGGATGTAATTCCAATAATAGTTTTTTGGATAAAATTTTGGTTTCATTAGCAACCAAAGGAAAAAGGAATATGACTTCATCAAAACTAAAAAAAAAAAAAAAAAAAGTGCATCGGAAAACACAATAATGGAAGTAAAAAGACAACCCACAGAATGGGAGAACATGTCTGCAAATAATGTCTCTGATAACAAAGGACTCATATCTAGAATATATGAAGAACTCTTACAGTAAAAAGACAAAGGACCCAATTAAAAACCAGTAAAGAATTTGACAGGCGGGGATACTCACCACTATACTAACGAGGACAGCAAAAACCAGTAAAGAATTTGACAGGCGGGGATACTCACCACTATACTAACGAGGACAGCAAAAACCAGTAAAGAATTTGAATAGGTACTTCTCTATTGAATATACACAATAGACCAATAAGCACATGAAAATATGTTTATTGAAATATGAAAACATCATTAATCATTAGGGAAATGTAAATCAAAACCACAGTGAGATATCACTTCACACCTTCAAGAATAGCTATATCTTAAAAAATGGACAATAACAAGTCTTGGCATGGACATGGGAACTTGGGACCTTTGTACATTGCTGGAGGGAACTAAAATAGTGCCATCACTGCAAAGTGCAGTTTGACAGTTCCTCAAAACCCTAAACATGGGGTTATCATATCACGCAGAAACTCCACTCTTAAGTGTATATACCCAAGAGAAATAAAGACATAGGCCCACAGAAACATTTGTTAATGAATGTTCATATCAGCGTTAATCATAATAGCCGAAAGTAGAAACAACCTAAATGTCTGTCAACTGATGACTGGGTAAACATAATGTGGTATATATATTATATCGATTCAATGGGATAGTATTCAGTCCTCTGACTGATTCATGGATGAATTTTGGAAACATGCTAAATGAAGGAACCCAGACACAAAAGGTATGTATTGTATCATTCCATTTATATAAAATGTTCAAAATATGGAAATCCACAGATTTCAAAATAGATTAGTTGCTGCTTAGGAATGGGTGAGGGAGAAATTGGGTATGACTGCTAATAGAAACAGGGCTTCTTTTTGTGGTGATGAAAGTGTTCTAAAATTGGTTGTGGTTATGGTTGTCAACTCTGTCAATACTCTACAAACCATTGGATGGCACACTTTAAATGGGTGAATTGTGGTACATGAAAATGATTATGACATGAGAATTATGTTTATTCTGAGCTCCAGAGGCATACTATCCAATTGTTCACCTTAAATCTCCTTTGGGAAACATCAAAGATGTCTCAAAGACAGTATTTCCAAATTGGATTAATAATCTACCTCTCACCTCTTGTTCTGCTTTTAGATTTCTCTGTCTCAATGTACAACTCTGTTCTCTCATTCAGTTGTATAGTTCAGAAACCCAAGAGTCATTTTTTATATTTCCCTCTTTTTAACCAAGTTCTGCCCATTCTCCTTCCTGGGTTTCCTTTTATCCATTTTTGTACATCTCTACTTTACCACCAGAGTAAGTCTGGACCATTTTAATGGTCTCCTAACTAATCTTCCCATCTCCATTGTTAGCCACTTCAAATCTGTTCTCCACATTGAATCAGGGTGTGTTTTCAAAATGGAAATCGAATCATGTCACCCCTATGGTGACCTATGGACCTATGGACCCAGATTCTAAAGAAACCCTACACGGAATGGCTTTTTTCTGCCTGTTCAGCCTTTCACACCTGATTCCTACTTTAAAAAATCAGGAAGTCATACAAGTAGATGGCAAAAAAATTATTAATCAGATTATGTGTTTCAATGTCCTAAAAAATATCTCTTCATGAAACACACCACTATTCAGGATTCCACAGGTAGGTAGATGATTTAGAGTTATTACATTATTTTTCAATAATATTTTAATGATAATGCTTGATAGTATTATTATAATGACTTTGACCGTAAATTCATGTTTCAATAAATAGATAGAAACCCAATTTTTCTTTAATTTTCCCCTCAATTTTTTTTTTTTTTTTTAAGGGTAGCACTAGGATTTATTGAACTGTGCCTTAGTACAGGCGCTGGGGCTTGCCCATGGTGCTTTTGATGTATAAAGCCCGGACGTTCTGCCAATTCTTCTTGAGCAAGGACACCAGGAAATTGACCGCTAAGTGGATGTTGTACACAAGCTCGTCATCTGTCATCTTCACATGGCCAACAGCCACTGCCAGACACAGCACCTTCTTCATCTGGAATTTGATGGTGGACTTCACTTCATCCACTTTGGCCACCATGTTTTCATTGTGGGTCAGCAAGGAAGGGAACTTGCCAGCCTTATTCAGGCCTGGGCCCAGGATTCGTGGGATCTGCTTGATCGGAGATTCTGAAGCCAAAAAGGCATCATACTTCTTGGCCAACTTCTTGACTAATTTCTTATTCTTGTTGAGTTTCTTCAGCGCCTCAGTATCCATGTGGGGAATATCCACTGCCTTGGCCTCATCACAGTGCTGCTGATCCCCCAGAACACATACGGAGAACTTGGGGCGGGGAGTGGACTTAAGCCTGATGGTGCCCGAGAAGTGTTTGTCCTTTTGAGGGTCATAGTTCTTCAGACTGATCTGCAGCTCCACCGTCTCCAAAAACTGCCGGCGCTTGCGCTGGTTCCCGTGCAGGACTTCCCGCACCGCCTCGTACAGGGTGTCGCGGGAGACTTTGCTGCTCATGGTTCTTCGCGCCACAGTAACCGGAAAAGATCCCCTCAATTTTTAAAAGCAGAGGAAACCCTTCTTCAAATGGAATCTTATTAGAAAGCCCAATGTGAAATGAGAAAATTAGTTGCCCTAGTAAGATAATGGAACCTGCGCTTCTGTCAGCTTGATCCTCCTCTTAGCTTCTGAGCTAGATTCTGAACCATCTAGGGAACACAGCTGAAATCCACTGGCTTAACCTATCAAACATCATAAAAAAAGGAGCAATACCATGGTTTTGACTTTTCCATTTGCATTAATATTTCTTCTAAAAACATTTGTTTTTGGGAATCTTCCATGTACCTATTTTTACATCCTCAATGCTATCCCCATTCCTCTTGTAGTTCCTTCATGTTGATTTATATTAATTTCCATTCCTCTCCTGGCCACCTGTACTGTATTCATTTCTCCTGTGAGAATAACCTCAAGGGTTCTTCATGACAGTTTACAGAAAAATCCATCATTTGAGATGCACTTTTTCATTTGGTGAGATGAATGGTGCTTTCAGAGGCATTGACTGTTTACCCTTTCGCTGACCCTGTAAATGCCGATGATTTGCCCATGGAGCACACTGAGATGAAATGCCAGTTCTTGCAGAAAGTCTCTGTGCTCTTCTACTCAGATGACATCTCTTCAAATGTCTGGCTTCTGCTTCTCCAACTTTTCCCCCACATTCAAGCACTACTGTCTTCAAAAGTGTGCTGGTAGATGTTTAAATAACTGGCTGTCCTGGGGGAAGGGCAAACCCTGATTTATAGTGTTTGCCTCTTTCATCCTGGCCAATTTCAAACCACCAGTGTTGCCACTGAAAGGTGGAGTGAGGCAGAGATGTACAGTGGCAGAGCACTACATAGCCTTTCTGCCATAGAGGAACAGCATGGAGGGATAACTTCAAGAGCAGAGGTCATAGGAAAATAGTTCAGAAGTAAGGAATTTTTAAATATGTACTTATTTTTTTAAATTTATTTATTTGAAAGAGAGAGAATGAGAGAGATAGAGCCCAAGATGGGGGAGGGTCCTGCATCAAGCAGGGAGCCCGATGCGGGACTCAATCCCAGGGCTCCAGGATCATGACCCGAGCTGAAGGGAGTCGCCCAACCAACTGAGCCACCCAGGCGCCCCTATGTACTTATTTTTAATACACAGATTTTCCTTGACTTACAGTGGGGTTGTATATCCATTGTAAGTTGAAAATATCCTCAAGTTGAAAATGCATTGTATATACCTATCCTACTGAACATCATTGCTTAGCCTAGCCTACCTTCACATCTATACACCATCTGCCCATGCCCCACATAGGATTCCTGTGGTCTTTCCAGGAACCAGAGATCCCTCTCATCCCCACCCTTCCGTGTTTGCTTCTGCATCCCAGACCCTGCCCTCCACACCTCATCCTGGTGCTCTGTCCTGCTGGCCATGAAGGTACACTTCAAAGTCCTTAAGGACCCCTGGCTGACATTCTGGAAAGCTCTGGCACTTGATTCCATGATCTTAGCTCCCTGGCTCTCTAGTCCTTGTTTCCTTATTTAAACCTGTGATATCTGCTCTGCTCCCTGCATTTGGTGGCTCACGTAGAATCCCTTCTGTGCTTTACAGACTTCGACTTCTTGTTTTTCTCTTAGCTCAGCCTGTGTCAGTCTCCCTATGCTGTGAGGAAGAGACATTCTTTTACCTACCTGAGGCTCAAGGAGTCCCTCCCAACCAGGTGAGTCTTCCTGTTGCCTCTCCCCTGTCTCACAGCCATAGGAGAGAGATTCAGTAGTTATTCACATTTCAGTGAGATATTCTAGCTGGGATTACCTCCACAGTACCTGATACACAGCTTGTGATCAAGCGTTTAGTTCTGCAGCATTCGACTCAACTGAAATGCTCTCTCTCTAGGGGAGTTAAGAGTTGAAGAGAGAAAATCAATCAACTATGTTTTATGTAATTCCTCCAACTCTTAGAAAATACAGTTGTTGTTTTTTTTTATCACTAGAAAATGGTGACCAGGAATATTAGAAACCCAGGTGACCTTCCAAAGGTTTTTACAGGTTAAATATATTTGAGAGAAAGATGTTGGCATTTTCATAACAACTAGAGGCACAATGTTTTTCTTTTTTATGCTAACCCTTGGCTTTATAAAATGGCTGGAAGTTTTCCAGTATTTGCCACTTGGAGGACAAATGTCCTTTGCCCTGAAATGAGGCTGAAATCTGGCTAACGTGCTTTTAACAGGAAGGGTTCTTGGACTTTCAGGAAGATGAAAAGCAAACACAGGGACAAAAAGAAAAGACAGGGGCTGGAGCTGCCACTCCTTGACAAAGGAAAAGAGTTGCACATTTTAGCTTTATTTTTTTACTTTTAAACGATCATTGAATTCATCAGTTGCTGGGTTTATAACACCAACCCTGAGATCCTGGGCCTGTCATCGTTAGTGCTTACCTCACTGAGACCAGTGGTAAGAATAGGTCGAACAGGTGGCAGAAATCCTAAAAGGACAACACCAGAAAAATGATTCTTGAAGACGAACTCTATTAAATTATAAAAAATGAAGGGGTCTTCAGAATGCAAATGTGATGAGCACCAAAACACTGGTTTTGGGAGTCTGGGAAGAAGAGCTAGTGATTTGAACAGTTACATTTATAAGCTTTGCTTTTAACTAAGATCCAAGTTCAGAGCCTTTGAATGCTGAAGGGGGGAATGTCTGAGATATAAAGTTTCCTAAAGAAAATGAGAACAAAGGTAAAGGAGATGGACTGTGGCTGCTTTGCAAACATGGAGTCCAGGAAATGCTTTGAATGGAGATAAAATGGAAGTAACTTCGGCTTCTTATGTGCTATTTACTTGAAGCATGTTTTATCTTAAATGTATCCTTCTGTGTACTGTTTTCATTATCCTCATTAGGGGATTATGAGAGCACTTATTTAGTTTAAAATTCTTGTCTTTCATTCCCTCAAGACTCATCAAATGCTGGATTAATGTAGAAGGGTAAATAATATTGGAAAAGAATTTGCTCTTTACTGAATCACAAGGAACATTACTTTTTAAAAAATATCCTTAAGAGAGAAAAGGTCTTTTCACAGTGGTAACGCTTCATATTTTAGTTGAAAATGTGTATCTAATTAAAATTCCATATGACAATCATACTATATTATTTAAATACCAAATGATTATTAAAATCACATTTAATTGTGGCTTAAAAAATATAACAGATATGTACCCAGGAAACAGCTGCTAAACATCACCAAGATTTCCTTGATCAGCTTTGTTTTCCTCAAGCATTTCCCAGTTACAATGAGCCTAGTTGGAACAACTATTTCTTTTATACACACACACACACAGAGAAGCACTACTGATGTTACAAGAGATTTTGTTTGAATGACTGACAATTTTGTGAGAGTTCTCAATGATTCAAAAATAGTCACAGCAAAATCAAGCCTGGATTTTCCATTTTTACTCTGATGTACCATGTAGAATCAAAGACCATTTACAGAAGATCAAGTATGGGTTATGTTGAAAATGGAGAAGAGGTCTTACAGCTCAGATGGCTTATAGTAAAAGACAAGGAAATGACAAATGCATGGTTTCGTATGTTCTGAAGCCTTTGGTGGCACCAAGTCTTCCTCCACACAACTCTGGCTGTATTCTGTCAAATCTTTATGTTACTTTGAAAGCAACTGGCTATCCACTACTCGTTTTCAAAACAGCCAACAAGATTAAACGCTCTCTGAGGAAATGGGTTTTGTGTGGCCAAATATCTTCATGCAATTCATCGTGAATCTTTGATTCAGAGATTGTAGACATGGCCGTCACCATGTCCAGGTTAGGAGGCAACATTGCAAAGGGGAAAAAAAATTCTCCTCTTAGGAAACTCCTTCACTTCTGCTTTTTTGGTGCACTTCACTCACGTTATGACTTCTCAGGATGCCAGTCATCTTGACTCCGGATTTGAAAAGTCCTCAATGGTGAACCCATCGCACGCCCTGCCCTGCAGTATCAGGCCTGAATCTATTCCCCCCCTGAAGTCTGCCACTCTGCACTTAACTTTCCTTTCTGTTCCTAGTCCCCTCCCAAGAAAATCCCTGTTCCTTAACATCTACACCAGTGGCAAACCGTTTAAAATAATTCACATGAATACACAAACTTGCGGCAAGTTGTCTAGCATTGTGAGGGAGCCATGTAAATGGATCTCCCCCTCTCCCCTCCCCCTCCCTCCCTACCCCCTCCTACCTCCCTCTGCCTCTGATTTTCTTTTGTTTTAGAAAAGCAACCCAGGAGTTCTGGGTAAGAATGTGATGTCAGCACAAGTGTCTAATTCCTCTCCTTCCAGGTCCCCATTAAAATGACTGATAGGTATAAAAATAAGAGAAAAACCTGCACCCGGTGCTGACGCCTGGGAAGGCTGAAACGTGCACGCTGCATCTCCAAGAACTTCTGTTAGAGGAGAATGAATCGAACGAAAAGGCAAACTCGTGACTCCCCCTCGGTGGAAGAGGGGCAGGATGCAGACAGAGTAAAGTGGCAGAGACACAGGCAGAAACCTGCTAACAGCCCTTAGGTTAAAGGAGCCAGGGCCGGCACGAGGTTAGACTGTTGGGAGGTCAGGAGCACATCTGGATTCCTTCAGTGTGTTTGAAAAGTGTCAGCTGCTCCCTCGGGGGAGCTGGTGCACGGAGACTACCCTGCAGGCCGGGCTGGACGAGGCAGCTCTGAGGAGGACCACGGGGTGTGAGGCCCGGTGTTTGTGCTCTGAGCCTCACGTGCATCTCAGCTTATTTCCTGAGGGTACGTTCGTGGAAGGAGAGTTACCAGGCCTGAGGCTATGCATGTTTCTATGATTACTGATCAGAAATTGCTCCATAAAAAGACTGTGTTGGTTTACACTTCCACTAAACAGCAAATTGCTGGACACTTTTCACCAACCCTCACCAATGTTGGACACCAACGGTAGATGAAAAATGACAACTCATGGCTGTTTAATTTTGTGCTTGAGTATTAACGGAATTGAATTCGTTTCACTTTT